GGAGAGCATTAGAGCAAAAAGGAGAAAAAAAAAATATATAACCGGTACCGGAACCGGCAGCGGTACCGGCGGTGCCGGTAACGATTTTGGGGCACCGGAACTGAGACCGGATGTGGCGGTACCGGTGCCGGTTCTCGGAACCGTTAAGCCGTGCCGGTGGTCGTCACGATGCTCGGTACCGGCGGTACCGTTTCCGATGACGGTACCGAACCGGTACCGTGTCCAGCCCTACTGGTAGGTCAGTGGGTTTGAGTATATGATTGCAAAAAAAAAAAAAAAAAAAAATTACTCCGTAAAAAAGTAATGGCAATAATTGGTTGAAGCCACCAAGTTCCTTCTAATGACAATAACTACTTGTGAAATTTGCGTTAGGATTAAAACATAAGTCATTTCTCAATTAAAACTTAATTTTTTATTCCTTAAATAGGACTTAATAATGTTTAATGAGAAGAATAATGTTCAAGTGATGTTGGACATTTAATTGAATAATGACTAATAGATAATGACCAATGTTCGGAAATAAAATCATATATTCCTATATTGAAAAAGTCATTATGTTTTAGTCCTATTTAGGTAATTACCCTACCCCGTTTGGTACATGGAATTCAAACCATGGAATTGGAATTGAGGACTTCAATTCCAATTTTGTTGTTTGGTAGCACAAAAATTATGTGGTTTTGGAATTGATAGTGCAAAAAATGAATTGGATTTGGCAAAATTCAATTCTATGGAATTGAATCCCATAGAATTTCAATTCCAATTCCGTCAATTCCGTATACCAAACGGACCCTAACTATTTTACTAGAAATGAAAGTATTAATATATCTAAAACTTAAACCATCTACAAATTAAAGTTCTTCAATATCAATTAACCTCTTGTATCTATTTGCCGTCAAAAAAAAAAAAAGAGTACCACCCCAATATTTACTTCGTCTTGTGTACTAATTGGGGAAAAGTCCTCCTATTCCAAAATACTCATAGCATTTTGGGAAGCTACTCTTTATTTAATCCTCGATTTTACACTGCTGCTACCAGCCAATCAAGACAACATTGATCAAAACTCAACTCTTTGTTCAAGATCCATGGCAAAATCCATGATTCTCAAGTTAACAGCTTACCAAGTACACATTTAATTTCAAAAAAAAAAAAACATAGCAAAAACAAAGCAAGAAAAAATGGCATGTACATGAAAAGATAACAAGCTCTAGACTCAAAATGGCAAATATGGACAAGAAGACAACATACATTCCACACACTGCACTCTCCGGCCCAGTTTGCACGCTTACATGGGGAAACCTAATTCTGCATTCCTCTTCTTCTCCCTTCTCATTGATCTGTGAACCAATTTGGACGGCGGAGATGGCAAAAAATCAAACCGTAGCGACGATAAGCACATTTCCCCACTCAGAATCTTCACGATATCCCCGATATCGGGCCTTAGCTCGGGCACTCTCTGCAGGCAAGCCAAGGCCAAGTTGAGGCACAGCCTGGCCTCATCCTTGTTGTACTGGTCTCCCAGTTTCTCATCCACTACTTCAAGAACATCCCCAGAATGGGCCAAGTGCTTGCACCAGCTCACCAAGTTGGCTCTCTCCAGCTTCATGGGTGAGTTGAGAACATGGAGAGGTCGCCTGCCGGAGACGATCACAAGAATGAGGACTCCCAGACTGTATATGTCCCCCTTCTCCATTAGGAACCCGGATCGCCCGTATTCCGGCGCGACGTAGCACAGCGTACCCCGCATGCTCGTGGTGCTGCTCAGGTCCCGGCTCCATGCGTCGCTCCCTCCCCCAACACAATGTGATTCCTTTTTCTTCTTCTTCTTCTTCCAGCCCCTCCTGAAACTGAGTTCCCTCTCTAGATCGCATCTTCTCTCGCTGCTGTTCTGGGCCATGAACGCAAAGTGTTTCCCCAGATCGAAATGTGGGACTTTGAATCTGATGCTTCGTATGCACTTGGTTTTATTAGGATTATTACCATTGGCACTCTTCTTCTTCTTCTTTTTCTTCTTCTGGGAAAGTTCATCAAGGTGTTCCTCCTTCCACCACTCCTTCATCACCCTCGGCTTCTTATTCTGCAACTCCAGTAATTCTTTCCCCCCTGGGATGCCCGTCTGGTTCACTTCTTCCACACAGCCAACATTCTCTTTACCTTCTTCATCCCAATTGGGATTGGCGGAATGGAAGATTTGGGTGCCTATCCACTCCATCACATAATCTTTGGTGCACAATTCACCACTCACATCCTGTCTCCACCACCAATCTCTACCCTGCAGCATACTATGATCAATGATGCTGCTGCTTCCCTCATCATCACCATCATCATCATCATCATCATCATTGTTCCAATCCTTCTTCTCAACTGATTTCCCCTTTCCAGTCGTGATCTTGTCATCCGCGTCAAACACGACATTATAGTTCATAGAGTTCAACCCCGGAGCTCTGAAGTTCTGAGAATTCTTGAAACTATTCGGGTTGGAAGAGGAAGAAGCCTGTAAAGCCATGGCGAAATCCACCTCATCCTCCTGGGGAGTAGGAGTCCCTAGATTCCCGGAGAGGTCTTGGGGGCTCCTCGTTCCCCCAATCTCCTGGCTGAACAAATCAGCCCCTACAAAATCAGTCTTCAACCTCGACAGCCCGAAATCCGAGAGCTTGGCCTTGAACTCCGAATCGAGCAACACATTGCTAGGCTTCACATCCCCGTGGACCACGGGCGGGTCGCATTCAAGATGCAAGAAAGACAGCGCCTTTGCAACGTCCAAAACGATCCCAAACCTCCTCCCCCAATCCAACCCCGAATTCGTCTCCAAGAAAAGCAGTTCCTGGAGGCTTCGGTTCGGCATGTACTCATACACCACAAGCCTCTTCCTCTTCTCCACGCAGTACCCGAGAAGCGAAACAACCAGCTCGGATTTGATCCCTCCCAGAATCAGGAGCTCGTTCTGGAAATCCCTCTCGCTCTCCAAAGAAGAAGAAGAATCCAAGAGCTTTAGAGCCACAGACTTGCCATCTTTCAAGCTCCCTCTGAACACAGTCCCAGACCCACCCTTCCCAATGGCATTTCGGGGGCTGAAACCATGGGTTGCTGAATCCAGCTCCCTGTAGGAGAACCTCCGGAGCTTAACCAGAGGGTCATTATTGGAATCAAATAATGGGCTGGTGGGGGACCTGCGGAGCACAGAGTACCACACGTAGTACAAGAAGTAGGCAATTGCGAAGAGGGTGATCAGGGATGATAAGGCGGTGATTGCAATGAAGATTGGAGTGAATTTGATGAGTCTCGGGTATGATGGTACTGTAGCAGACAAAGGTTGTCTTGAAGGCATTCTTGATTCATCTCTCTCTCTCTCACTCACTGAAGGCATTCTTGATCCATTTTTCAAGACCCTTTCAAACTGGGTGGGACGGTCAATCAGATATAATTAGAGAAAGGAAGAGAGGTAATAAGGACTGCCGAGGCATTGTGGACATTTCTTTTTGTTTGGTTCGAGATCTTTTGTTAAAGTCCGTATTGTTTTTATTCGTTGAGTGTTGCTTTACAGTTGGATGATAATCATATTGAGCACAGACTCGTAGAGTGACCGGACCGGAATAACCAGACCATTCCACAATACAATACTCGCATGCTTATCCAACCCCAAATATTTATCCCACAATGCGCGCAGGGCTAAAGGTGAAAAAGGGTAAAAGGATAGAAAAAGCGCACTCCGACAGGCTGAATCCAAAAGCACAAGTCACACAATCATTTGGTTCTCGGTTAATTACTGACGGAGTAAGGAGTAAGTGTGAAAAAGACTAGGACTAAAATATTAAAAAATATATTAAAGTACACTTCTATTTTTTATTATCAAAATAGGATTTAAATTGTATAATATTGTCATGTACATTATCAAAAAAGTATAGTAATGTGCGCATGTATAATTTTATAGTGCCACATTACCACAATGCAAAGTCCTATTTCAACACTTTAAAAAAAAGTCTTATTTCAACGAAAATATTAAAGTCCTATTTTGGCACATTTTCTATGTTTTAGTCCTATTTAAGGTGATTTCTAAATAATTTAGTCTTTCGTCCTAGAAAATACTCCCTTCATTCCAAAATGTTTGCCACATTTGCAGCAAATTTTATGCTTGACCTAAAGACCATCATGGAGTTACATATGAGTAAAAAAACTATTTTTTAGTACTTAAATAAGCATCTGTTTTTTTACAGACTAATAAAAATTTTAAAAAAAATTTATGTAAGAAGGTACACAAATATTGTATGCACCCAAGGTGCACTATAGAAGCACTGCACCTTTGCTTTTTTCAACAGTCATAGAAACTTCTATATATTTGTATGTTTTCATTGAATGTTTGATAAAACAAAATATTCTTAACACGTCTTATTTTATAGAATTTTTCATTTAATTTTTAAATATGTAAATTTTATTCTCTCTATACCTAAGTTATTTATCCTTTACGCAAAACAAAGTAAAATCTCAATATTTTCAATTCATTTTATTTAAAGATCAGTATTTAAATAAAAAATAAAACTTACAATTTTAAAAAGTACATCAAAAGTCTTATAAAACTAGAGGTGACAAGAATATTATATTTCATCGAAATCACACAAATAAACAAAAGTTTCTGCAATTTGTTAATTATAAAATGTGTAAACTATTTAGAGACACAGGGAGTATCTTTTATTTCTATATCAATATTCAAATAAAATGAATTGAAAAAACTTAATATTTTGTCTCATTTTTTGAAATGTGGTAAGTATTTAGGGACAAAGGGAGAAAGAGAATTTTCACCAGTTATTGACTTATTGTTGATAAATAATTCTTAATTTTTTAAATTATTTATAATTCTTTTTGTGTAGATAAAATAATTTAGATGATATATAATTCATTTGAGAATATTCATAATAGATTAGTGATAGTTTTGTAAATAATCCAATAAAAAAAGATAAAAGATTTGGCTTAAAAAAGTAATACCTACTTATTTTCCTGCTTTATAAGAAACTTATATGTAATAAAAATATGTCATCAACTGACTTATAACTTAAAAGTAGCTTATAAATAGTTTTGACCAATTTATAAGTATAAAGATATATTGAAAGTTTGAGACTGTGTGCGCTCTCACCCGGCCCCAACCCTGCATTTGTATGATATTGTTCGCTTTGCGCCACAATAGATTGTGAAAAAACTTAAGAGAATGCGATCTTAGGAAAGAACTTAGCATTTTCCTTCCCCTTTTTGCTTGTTTAAATTTTGGCCAAGGGCCTCATTTGTAACCAGTTTGTAATCTTCATTTTATATTAGTAATACACTTGTGTGTTTGCTATTTTAAATCCTAATTTCTATATCTTAAGGTTGGTTCCCTTAAGTGTGAGTGTTAGGTTCTAGATATTTAATTAAGTGTGTAATATCTTAATTGAATTCTAGAATCAAAACCCCAAGTGAGGATAAGAGTGTGTTATATCTCTTAAAACCAACTTGATTTTATCCCTTTCCCCTTATTCTTTCTCCTCCATTTTCGGCCTTCCTTTAACACACCAAATAGTCTCATCTTCTTCCATAACTTTACATCCTTAAAGCATCCCAAAAATAAACTCTCCTTCTTCCTCCTTATTTTTGGCCACCCCTTTCAAACCTAAGCTTGGATATATCATTGAGGGTTCGGTTTTTCCATCTTCTAATAGGATCAAGTCTTTAATCCCAAATGCATTTGTATGATATTGTTCTATATATTGGGAGAGAAATAGAGAGATTTTGGTTCTGGTGAAAATGCGATCTTAGGAAAGAAATGATAATAAATCTGATGCTTTAGATTGTGAAATCTAAGGGTTAGGATTGCATCAAAATTAGGTGCACCAAAATAGTTTGAAAATGCATCATGTCGAAATGCACCAAAATCCTTTGAAAATGCACTATCTCAAAATCTGAGCGCAAGATGCAATCTGAGACGGATGATGCATCAGATCCAATGGCTAGATTTTATTCTCATTTATCTCCACAAGGTGCATTTTCACAGGAACCGGCCCATATATATATATATATATATATATATAGATTTTGGTTCTGGTGAGAATGCAATCTTAGGAGAGAAATGAGAATGAATCTGGTGCTTTAGATTGTGAGATATAAGGGTCAAGATTTCATCAAAATTAGATGCACCAAAATGGTGCAAAAATGCATCACGTTGAAATGCACCATAAACCTTCGAAAATGCACTATCTCAAAATCTGAGCGCATGATGCAAGCTGAGCCGCACGATGCATCAGATCCGACGGCTAGATTTTATTCTCATTTCTCTCCACAAGGTGCATTCTCACGGGAACCGGCCCCTATATATATATATATAAATTTTTTTATTAATATTATTGGAACGGTAGGGGGCCCGAGGTCTGTTAACCTCGTGACCGCCCCAGGGCCCGTTAAACACCCGAGGCAGATAGCCCACTATAAGAAGCCCAATGAAAGCCCAATCTAAAGCCCAACCCCAAAAATCTGCAAACACTTCCCAGGGGGGTCACCCATCATTTCTGCTACTCCATGGCGAGCACGCTTAACTCTCTTAAAATTCCCTCAAAGTTGCCCCTTCTGAGGATCGAACTCAGGTGGTGTGGTTCGCCAATCAATCCTGTGACCATCTCTACATGGGGGAACCACTATATATATATATATATATATATATATATATATATATATATATATATACATACACATACATACATACATACATATATATATATATATATATATACATGGGATTGACTCCAGTGAGATGACACCTTACGGTGAGATGACATGCTTCGGTCAGATGACACAAAGCTCACCATTGGTCACTGCAAAGCTCACCAATGGCCAAAGTAAAGCTCACCAAACTGTAAGGCAAAGCTCACCATATTTTTTTCAACACTTTGAATTTTTTTCCAAAAAATAAAAAAGCTCACCACATTACACTGCAAAGCTCACCAATGGCCAATGTAAAGCTCACCTGGAAATAAGGCAAAGCGCACCACTTTGAACACCAAAACTCACCTTTTTTTTATTTTGAAAATTAAAAAATTAATAAAAAATAAAATAGCAACACTGGTCAACCACTGGTCAGTGGCGGCGGCGCGGCAGAGACCGGCGGCGGTTGTCGGCGGCGGCGGAGGTTGTCGCCGGCGGCGGAGGCTGGCGGCGGAGATCGGCGACGGCCGGCTGCGGAGATCGGCGGCGGCGGCCGGCGGCAGAGGTCGGCGGTCGGCGGCGGAGATCGGAGGCGGCGGCGGAGATCGGCGGCGGCCGGCAGTCGGCGGTGGTCAAAGTCCAGTCAGCTTTTCCTTTGATTATGGTCAACGGTCAATGGTCAAAAAGTCAACACCACTTCCTTTGATTTTGTTTTTGGAAAAAAATTCAAAGTGTTGAAAAAAATATGGTGAGCTTTGCCTTATAGTTTGGTGAGCTTTGTAGTTGTCTTTGGTGAGCTTTGCAGTGGCCAGTGGTGAGCTTTGTGTCATCTGACCGAAGCATGTCATCTCACCGTAAGGTGTCATCCTATTCCTATATATATATTGTTGAATTAGGATTCTTCAATCATATAATGAAATGAGAATAATGATTAAATAATACCTGGCAAACCCGAGATGAATGGCTTAGGGAGGAAGACGTGATCTTGATCAGATTCCGTTTTAGGGTGTATTGTTAAGGATGGAATTCGTGAGTAGGGAGGCAATAGAGAAGAAGGCCGAAATTCCTTTTTAGGTATTGTGAGCTCGGCGTGTGATGTTATTAGACGATATCTCTTCCGTTGTCCAAATGACCTCTATTTATAACACCCAAATGAAAGTTCTAATTAGTAATGGTAAGATTAATTACGTCCATCAAGTAATTACCAATAATATAATAGGATAAATATAATTGTTCAATTAATAAGATAAATAATCGTGAGGGTCACATAATATTCTTACATTCTTCCACTTGGTTAAATAATTATTTATTATGAGCATTAGATAAGTCTGGCCAGATTTTAATACTCATTTTAGTCCTAAAGTGTAATTGTAGCAGAGAAATATAGTCATTGAATTGGTACTCAACTCAAGAACCCCATTAATCATACTACAATACAAATTTAAATCTAAGTAAATTTTAGGATCAATTGATAAAGTTGTATGGCATCAATAAATAACCCCTTTAGACTTTGATTTGGACAATTACGGTCCAAGCTTCCTCTTGCTTCAGGCAGTGTCCAGGCTTTTTCTTGCCTCAGGAAGAGTTTAGCTTAAGGGGGATGTTAGACAATAATAATAATAATAGTATTAGTTATGGAAGTGTTTGGTTATATGTCACCTTCCTATTCCTGTTTATTGGAGATGTAGTATTTTAGTTAGTTTCCATTCTATATTTCTAGTTGTGTTAGGAGTCTCTCTTATATATACTCTATCATGTACTCCATTATTCTATGAGCACTGTTATTATTCTAATATTTCAACACACACACAGATATAATATATATATATATATATA